GCCGGAGCGCCACCCCCGCAGAATGCCGCGCCGCGCTCCCCCCGCCGCCCCTTACCAGGTGCCGCCCCAAGCATGTGCTTGGGTGCCTGGTGCCTGGAGCCGGCCCTGACCACAGCCAGCCTGGCAGTGCAGTGTAGGATGACTTAGAAGGTGTAGTGTGACTTACAGAAGTGTACAGCCTGCTAAGCGCTGTACATTACAGTATATGCACTAGGCCCTAGCAAAGTTCCTAGCCAGCAGATTGTCCACCAGGTGCAGTAGATGGGTCCCTCTCTTGAGCTCTCCTTCGAAAGCCAGGTGGACGCCTCTGTTCACTTCTCGCCCAAACCCAGCACACCCTTAGTACACAGGATTGGATTTGGCCCTAAATTATTTCAGTTCTCCGCATCCCTCAGACACATACACAGCCTTTCTGAGAGCCCCTTGTCTTAGGATCCTGCTATCTCTGTTCTCCATTGCTTCTCCTGACCTTCACCACCAGTGCTTCCCAATGCAAAGGAAGTCTTAACCACACATACATTCAGGCTAAAGGCAGTAGACAATAGTAGTGACTGTTCATGGATTAACTAACAGAGGATTTTGAGTATCAGAGGGGTAGCCGTGTTAGTCTGGATCTGTAAAAAGCGACAAAGAGTCCTATGGTACCTTATAGACTAACAGAAGTATTGGAGCATAAGTTTTTGTGGGTGAATGCCCACAGAGAGCAGCTGGCTCAGGGCAAAGGAAAAGAAGAGGGCCCAGAGCAGTGCTTGTTAGGTAAAGAAATCTCAGGTAAAGTTCAGAGGAAGCTGAGTGGGCAGGAAGAGAGAGTTGCTCAAAGTAGGTGCTTTGGGAAAGCAGACAATAATAATAACTAGCTCTTAGATCTCAAACACTTTGCAAAGAAAATCAGTATCATTATGCCCATTTTAGAAATGGGGAAACTGAGTCACGGGGCGGTGAAATGACTTGCCCAAGGTCACCCAGCAGGCTAGTGGCAGAACCAGAGATAGAACCCAGGTGTTCTGAGTCCCTGCCCGGTGCTCTATCCTCTAAGCCATACTGCCTACCCAGAGTCCAAACCTTTTTAGGCTTATCCATTCTGTAAACATTTGAGCTCTTTTCCATAATGGTGCTTTCTCCAAGGCTGTTCCATTTCACTCATGGAGCTTGGTTTTCTTCATGGGAAATCGCTGCAGGTGACTCCGGCAGAAAACATTGTCTGAGCCAAACCAAAGTCTGCTAAGGCGTGGAAGATGTCATCATACTTCCTCTCCCTTCCTTCAATGACCCTGGCCCTTTGAAACTGCTCCATGCTATCAATAGCCCAGAAACACATCAAAGGCTCTGCTTTGTATTAGCTGAAAAGAGAGGATAAAATGTGTGCAGAGGCCAATGGTGTGGAAAACAAGTTTCATAAATAGAAAAGGCATCAGCGTGGGAATGCACAACATCCTTAATGAAAGTAATACAGTGGAAAATGGCCTCTTTGAAGGGGTCCCAGGGGGAGATTAGTTAGGCGCTCACAGATCATTGCCATTCATGTCTCTGAGCTTTACAAACAGACATTAATTAAAGCAGGCACACATGCAGCACTTTACACTCTTTGGATATCGCTCTGTTCATCAAGCCGCCTTGGAGTAGCTTGCTGGGGTTGCTAACGTTATCGTTCTTGAAAAAGAGCAACACAGCTAGTAAAGTTACTTACAAAGGGCTGCTCTGTGAGCATAAAAATTTGTTTCACCCTTCATTCTTGGGGTAGCGAAGTGAAAACAGTTGGAGGTCAATATGTTGGCCTAAAACTCTTGGATTCGAACCTCTTCTTGCCCTGCATCTGTTTTTGTCTGTGGAGTAGCCATTGGTTTAAAATTGATGACAATGTCTTGAACTACAGACTGATTAACAGTGTCCTTATTTCCTTTCAGGCTTGGGGAACAAGTGAATTTCTTGTTGCATTCCAATACTCCCTTTGTAAATGAAGAAATATGGACAATTCAAAAATCTCTCCTCTTCCCCCACCTTCTCTCTTTAAGAACCAGGAACAACTCACCACTTTGGGTCTGCAGCTTGACTGAGAAAAAATGAATGACTTGTGTATGTCAAACCTGTGCAATCAGATCTTCAGCATGGACAAAGATCAAGCACAACTGAAGCAACTGGACAGGAAAAAAACCGTTTTGTTTATTGGGAATGTTATGGTTATTTTGTAAAACATCACAATTAGCACTTTTTAAAACCACTTTTCCATCACTACTATAAGTGAAACATTTCTTTGCTGCTGATGCAATTTTTTCTCTTTTTCTGATTGTACTCTGGAAGCCTATGAATGTAGTTATATGAAATTCAACAGTTTTGTCCACAGATGTTTGTACAAACATTGTTGGGTTTGATCCAGGTGGGTTTCACAGTTGTGCTGTGCAAAAATAGTAAATATTTGGTTCATGAAATTTAGAGTTTTATTCAGGACCATTGACTAATGCCAGCACATCACTTTTGTTGTTTTGTTTTATTTTGTGAGAAAGGCAGTTTTCATACAAAATGCCTGAAATTTTGAGATCACGTATTATAATATGAAAACTGATCTGCATTGAAGTGAAATTTCATAAATCAAAGTTTCCAGAAATTTTAGGTCTTTCACTTGGATCCATTAAATTTAATGTAAAAATGTATCGTCCCCAAAATGTCCAGGTTTAAAAAAAACAAAACAGTGATATCTTGCAGGTGTAATGTAAAATCAAGACAATTTTTGCAGAATCCAAACAAAATATGAAAATGTAAATGTAAAGTTTTAATGTTTTGTTGCAAATACTGTTCTTTGTATAACCCCACTCTGCAACCCCATGTCTCACTTTCAGTTTCAGATTACAGCAAATCTAAAACATAAAAGCAAAATTTAGTTTCCAAAATGTACAGAGTTTCAGACTGAAACTACCGCGTTTCATGCTATTGAGCAACTTGCATTGATGAAATCTGAAAGCTCTTTGTTATTCATGTACAAAATACAGATAACTTGATTGGTAGGAGTCATGTATTCTTTAGGGCATAAACTTCAACTTCAAATGGTATTACATTTTGCAGCAACTGAAAATTATGCAACGAATTGGAAAATACTCAAAGCCACTGGTTTTCATCAAATAAACAATTAAAGTATGATCAATAATGTAATCTATTATTTAAAAAAGCAGTGTATTTCCATGCATTTCAGTTTACTGCAAAAATCAACATGAATGCCACAGAAATCAGTACGTTTTGCACAGAATTTAGCAACCACAAGCTGAAGTGGGGGTCAAGTCTATGGTTATTCATTGTCAGTGAGGAAGCGAGGGGGGTTGAGGTTTTGATCACTTGTAGCAGAAGGGACATAGTTCTTCCTGCTCTGGAGGACCCAAAACACTCCTTTTTCTGCAAAAGTCTTTATCCCTCATCTTCCTGGGAATGTTACTCTATACACACAAACACACCCCATTCTGGCTGCTGGCAGGGGTGTGGTCTCTACCCCCTGTCATTGGTTCCTGGAGGCGTTGAGGAAGAAAACTGTTTAATGCACTGTAGCAGCTGAAGACAAGGAGAAGAGACAGCACCTTGTGATCAGCCAGTTCCCCACAGATCATAATTTGGGAACCCCTATATTAGGGAATGCATTCCATAAGCTGTTCCTCTGCAGGGCTTCTCTTGAGCAGAGAGGGCCAGTCATGCTGAATTAATGTTTATATGGCAGCATTGAATCCAGCAGGGCCACCAAACTGTCATTTAAGCAAGATCATGGGAAGTGAACCAGAAGGCCAACTTTGAAAGTCTAGTACTGCTGTTCAGTTACATGGAGATCTCTTCCCGTCATTAGTAAAATCCCCATTGCAATTATACTAAATGTTGGAGGTTACCAGAAAAGAAGCATTAGGAAAATTGGTCATTTCTTCTGAGACTTACACACATTTGTCAATTGCCTTCAATTGTCCTGACGTGATCTTGTGTGACACTGTCACTTGATTTCATATGTAACGTTGTGTTTTGATGTTGCCATGTAATCATAGAAATCAGAGATAGAAAAAAGATCTAGCAGTTCCCCAATCCAAAATATTATGGTCCTGATTCTGATTTCTCACGAGTTTTATGTCAGTGTGACTCCATTGATTTCAGCAGAGTTACTCCCAATTTACAGAATGGTGTGAGATCAGAATCAGGCCAATATGCTCATGATATGCCTGGCTGAGGATATAACTAGTAACATGAAACTACACAACTAGATAGGAATGCTGAAAATTGGCCTGCCACACCTTTTGGATACTTCCACAATACAGCTGGTTTTGGGGACACAAAAAGTTGCACATCTTACGTGCTTACTCATTAATCCAAAATTACTTGTCCACCATTTTTTCAGGGACCACCACATAAAGACTGCACCTTCTAGATAGCTCCTATTTCTGTATGACAGTTGGGTTGACTGTACCATACTAATGCTACCTGTCTTGATAGTCCCTTTTCAGAAGCAAATACTCATCAGCAACTACACACCACACAACAAAAACACCAACCTAGGAACCAAACCCTGCTACAAACCCTGGTGCCAACTCTGTCCACATATCTATTCAAGAGACATCATCATAGGACCCAACCACATCAGCCACACCATCGTTCACCTGCACATCTACCAATGTGATATATGCCATCATGTGCCAGCAATGCCCCTCTGCCATGTACATTGGGCAAACCGGACAGTCTCTACGCAAAAGAATAAATGGACACAAATCTGATATCAGGAATCATAACATTCAAAAACCAGTAGGAGAACACTTCAATCTCTCTGGTCACTCAATAACAGATCTCAAAGTGGCAATTCTTCAACAAAAAAACTTCAAAAACAGACTCCAATGTGAAGCTGCAGAACTGGAATTAATTTGCAAACTAGATACCATCAGATTAGGCCTGAATAAAGACTGGGTGTGGTTGGGTCATTACAAAACCTAAACTTAATTTTCCCAATACTAATTTCTCCCTACTGTTATCACATCTTCTTGTCAACTGTCTGTAATAAGCCACTCTCTTACCACTTCAAAAGTTATTTTTCCTCTCTTGGTATCCTGCTGTTAATTGATTTATCTCATTAGACTGACCTAACACTTGTTAAAGCACCCCCGTCCTTTCATGTATTTATACCTGCTCCTCTATTTTTTACTTCATACATCTGATTAAGTGAGATCTAGCCCCGAAAGCTTATGCCCAAATAAATTTGTTAGTCTCTAAGGTGCCACAAGGATTCCTCATTTTTTTGCTGATACAGACTAACCCGACTACCACTGAAACCTCTTCAGATAATCTCCTGAGTCACTGGAAAGGGCCCTGGTGTTTACCAAGAGGAAGGTACAGTCAGTGGCATCCGTTTATATTTGGATTTGAGCCTGCCTAGTCACCTGTAAAACAGTTTTTCTAAGTAAAGAGGTTTTTGTGCATGACTGAGTACTGTCTATTGACCGTGATATCTAGCCAGTGGTTATGCAAACTTGTAGATATAGTAAATTCTGTTTATTTAATGTTTCCAACCAGAGCAAACTGTCTTCTAAATCCAAAGACCTTGATTGCAGAGATGTCTTGGGGCAATAGCAGTACAGTGCTGGGTGCCATGCAGATGTTCCCAGGAGGACCTTGTGCCAAGCACCAGAGGCCACATCATCCTCTCTTGTGGTACAACACAGACATTTTCTACCCTCGTATCCCCTTCCACTGGTTTTACTAGAGGAGAAGATGGATCTTCAATGAGCTCCCCAATAGCATCATCACTTCTGGGAGGGCCAAAGTGTGTCCACACATTCATGGAAAGGGCCACAAAGCCTGCTCCCATTTGTAGTGAATCCCCAGGGCTGCACACAGAGGCCAGAGACATCCATGTGGATGCCTTGTGCTCACCAACTCTTGCGCCTGGTCACCCCCCTTCCACTGCTTCCTGGCCACAATAGCTACAGGAACTCTGAGGAAAAGATGATACAGCCACAGGCTTAGCATCTCCTGTAAAGAGAATTGAACCCATGATGACATAGGCCTAGGAATCGAATACTGAGATTCACACATATGGCATCACCAGTATGTATTGTAGTAGCCTCTCTCTGAAAGTTGTTATTCTTCTTCTGGTTTAGCCAATCTTAGAGTGGAAGTGTTTAGTGTCCGTAGTATAAACTGAATGCACCTCAGCCGGATAAAGTGTTAAGCTTTTGTAAATGTTAATTGTTCTATCTGCTCAACTGGAGAATATGGATGTTGACGAGATGAAACTCCAGGCATGACTTGTTCTCTGAGGCACATTTGGTGTCTCTATATAGAATGTATTTCTTTTTAATGTTCATTTTATTAATAACCACAAAAAATCCAATTTCTATTTTTTAATATGATTTTACATTAATCATTTTTTGTTTTGGATTAAATAATTGTAAATGGTCTTTTTCCAATTTTTTCCATTTCACTTCCTCTAATATTTGTTATGGAACCTCACCAGTGTGGCCAGCGTCACATAGAATTATAATACCAGTTATTACCAATGAATCTATCTGATGCCAGCACAATAAAACTAGGAATGCTTAACTTCTACCTCTACTTTTCTTTGTTCTTAGGGGCAGTGCACTTGAGATGGCACTCTAGACATGTCCTTCAATATCTGAAGCTCTTCACTCAACACAAATGCTATAATGAGCATACTTGCACTTAGGGCTGTATATTGGCCTTGCATGAATTGAAGATAGTTTGTGGTTTTAAGAGTTTATCTCTGTGAGGAATTGAAACAACCTGATCCAATGTTCAGAGACTGAGCAACAGTAAGATTTAAGGAAACAGGTATTTGTTTATAGAAATTATGTGAGAAAAGCATAATCAAAACTTTGCCGTTTCTTTCATCCATTTCTTCCAAAAGAGAGGATCCTCTTCCCCCCCCTTCACTGATACATGTCAGTAAATCAAATTTCATGAGTATAAAACTGATGTGAGATCAAAATCCAGGCCTGAGAATTGCCAGAGGTCATTGTCATGCGAAAAGAATCATAGTATGTTCATGATATTCATATTTCTTGCACCTCAAAAGAGTGCTCTGTAGGTTCTCCTCAGGGCCGGCTCTAGGTTTTTTGCCACCCCAAGCCAAAAAAAAAAGAAAAGCCGAAATGCCGCCTCTGGAATTCTGCCGCTCCGAGCACGTGCTTGGTTTGCTGGTGCCTAGAGCCGGCCCTGATTCTCCTACTCCTGCTGTGAAACTTAAGCCTTCTCAAGTTTTGCCATGGTAGCTATGTTGGTTGGGGGTGTGAAGAAATCAGTGCTTTTGCAACTATAGCTTATTTTGTTTGATGAACTGGTTTCAGCTATAGCAGCAAAAAAAACTCTTTTGCTGGTATAAACTGCATCTACACCAGGAGGGCTTGCCAGTATAGCTCTACCTGTATCGCTGTACCAGCAAACACTTGCTAGTGTAGACAAAACCTTAGGGAATAAAAACCACTCCAATAATAAAAGGAAATTTGAAACAATTCAACAACTAGATGTGCACAGTTGTTTTGGCCAGGAGCAAAACCCCACTGAACCACTGTATCCTTCCATGCAGATTGTCACCTAGTGTTCTGTTCAGAGAAAATTGTGCCAGAAAACTAGTCATAAGCATCCTGTCACATCCGAAATTTGAGCCACACATAATTGTCAGCTGCACCTCATTACTCATTTTAGACCCAAATCTACCTCTGTCCCACACAGACCTGCTGTTATCCCGCTTTTCATTACAGTATTGCTTTTGGCACTGGAAATGCAGACTCAGGAAACTGAAGTTATGGCAGTGTTATTTACCTTAAAGAAACTAACATTAAACATCAATTTAAGCTTCCTCGGCTATTTTTTTTAGGTGTGTCCTTTATTTTGCAGCTGACCTATATTTTGAAAGCCCATGTTCCATGTTTAGGACTTGATATTTTGAGAGCAAAGCCAGAGATGCACTCAACAGAATTGGAGAATTTGGGGGGTTTCATTTGTTTAGTGTAGCTAGTGTAATGTGATTTGCAAAGTGGATCACAATCCTAGAAATCATATAGGTGTCCATGCATTACAGAAGATCTCGCGGCCTCTGTGTCATAGGCTGGACCACTTCAGGGTCAGTAATCCTTCACGCCCAAATGGAACAGTGAAGGTCTATTATTAATAATAGGTGAGATGAGCCAAGAAGGAAACCTTCAGATCTCAATCCAAGTTAGATTTGGGCAAGGATTCGGGGCTCAGATTCAAGGCTGAATCCATGCTTGGGTTCAAGTTTGGACCCACAGCTCTGAAAATGCATGAGCTGTTCTTGTGAGATTTCTGCTGGGAGCCTCCCAAGTCCAGTTTTTATTGTAAATGTTTTTGTATAGCCCTAGAATTTTCTGAGCTCAGGACCAGATTAATGCATGGGCCAGATTAGTACATAGGCAAACTAGGAACATGCCTTGGGCCCAAATTCATGGGGGGGTTGGAGGAGAAAAGGGTACATTTTGTTTTGGTTAACCAATGCAGATTTGCTTGCAAACAGAAAGAACTTCACCCACTTGAATGAGCGGTGTTGTGACCAGGCACACAGGGTCGCTCCACCACTCAAATTTGGCCCCAGTACCGCTCTGTCATGATGGAGGGCTGCCATCCCAAATTTGAATGAGTGACATTGTGACCTGGTGCTCGGAGTCACACTTCCCCTGACACTCAAATTTGTCCCAGCTGCCCCTCCGTCATATTGTGACCCCATGTGCCAGGTCGCAATGCCACTCTCACAAGACAGTGAAGATCTTTCAGTCTACACCAGTGGATTGGCTGGCAGAAGTAGTCCTCACACAAAGCTAAGACTCATTTTGCTATTCCAATCAAAGCCAAGGTGAAAGGAGGGCACTGGATGAAGAAACCACTTCCTTCTCCAACAGCAATACATGGACAGTCTGGGATGGGAATTTACTGCAATGGCATGTATGGGAGGGGACATCACTGAAGTGTATTTTCCCCCTTTCTTTCAGTGTATCAACTGTTTGTTGTTATTCATAATAGAAGGTGGAGGCCCAGAAGTGTATGTTTGCTGAGGGCCCAGTGATAGGTAAATCTGTTCTCATCCCAGATAGCTGTGGTTAAAAAATAATCTGTACACAAAGAACAACAAAAGAAGTGGGATTAGACCTTATACTTCATCTGGTTGTCAGAAGGAGGTTTCCAATCTTATTTTAGCACATTCCTTTATTGAATTCTTGTCATGTGGAGGCCTTACAATATTTTGGTCTCACTTGGGGCAAAAGGGGAGTGGGGAGCTCATTCATCCAAACTCAGAACTCACTCAGACATCATGAGTTCTCAGTTTAAACTCCAAAATTGATGGTTTGAATTCCATTTGGGTCTAGCAAAACATGAGTTCTGGGCTGCAGATTGGGGACTTCTGGTTTGGGTTCAGTTTTGGTTCACCCTGGTGTAACCTAGAACTAGGGCAAGAAGACCTTTCCAATGAGAATCTTTACAGTTTCCATTGCATGTGCTTCCCTTGGAAAACGAAAAAAAGTTCCAGAGGGTTTACTTAGAGATTTAAGCTCTCTAGTGTAAGGACCATCTTTTTGTTGTGTGTTTGTACAGCAACTAGCACAGTAGTGTCCTAGCCCGTGACCGGGGCTGCTAGATGCTACGATACTATAACCAATAAATGATAAACACAACTGAGTTCTCCCATCCTTTGTCTCCAATAATGGGAGAAGTTTCAAATCACAGGTTTTCTCACTCTATTTTTAGTCTTTTTAAAACATTTTGAAACTGAAAATCGGTGCATCAGTGCTAACAATTGGTCGGGAACTGGGGAGGTGATACTGATCGGGGCGGGGGGGAGAAATACATTGATATTTACAGATTCTAGCACAAAAGTAACAAAATCCAAGAGGCATTCCTTAAGCCCTGCAACTGTCTCTACACTAGGGACAGATCTCAAATCGATTCCTCACCAGAAATGTGATTTTTCCATGGGAGGAAATGACAGGGGCAGACACAGCGTGACCATTTTCACTCGTGTTTTATTTGATGAATATTGATTGAACACACTGTTCTGTTCACTTGCATGGAGCTGTGTATGCGTGTGAAAATATCTTTGTTAAATGGACGCTGTGCGATTTTGTCCTTGCACTTATCTCCAAGCTCATTCAGCCGGAAAGCGCCTCATCCCCAGCTGAGTATTTACTCTGCATTTTCTCTCTCACACACGCAATCGATTTGCTTTTTTCTTTTTCCTACTGAAACCCTCATCCTCAGGACATCTCTTATCATATATTCCAGGTCTCTTTTCAACTTTGCCACAGCTGCTTGGTATATTTTACTTTCCATTAATTGATTTTTGGTGCCTACTCTTTTGAAATGCTTTTTAAGTAATAGTTAATTCCTGCCATTAAAGATAATATCACCTCCTATAAAAGGCCATTAGAAATCGTTTCATTCGGCCCAACCAAATGGGGTCCATCTCTGATGCATGCATAAGGCACTTCAGCTACAAGTGTTTCAAGTATTGTGATGAACAAACCTCAACAAATTTGGAGGTTCAGTTTATCAAAGCCCCAGAAACTTAAGATTCTCACCCATAATAGCCAAACCTATTTTGACTTTTCCTTCTCATATGACCATCTTTCCTCCAGCAGCATCGCCAGAGGTTTCTCCCAGGACATCCTGATTTACGCTTCAAAGTCTGATAATTGGGCCCCCTTGTTGAAAAGAATTGGAGGCCTGTTGGAGAACGTGGGTCATTGTCATCTCTGAACGCTTTCTAACCGAAGAAAGGTTCTAGGCTGGGTTAGGTCGACCATTTGTTTCGTTACTCATTCATTTAACTAATTTCTGAAGCACATTTCACCATGACTTCTCCTTCAATTGTGGGAATTTAACTCAGTTCATCAAATGCTCAGCAAAATAAATGGATCTGCAGCAATCCCAGAAAGCTGCTAACTTTAGGTGTGGATGGCTCTGCCAAGAGGAAGAGCTCCCAGAGGCAAGGGCCCCTCTGGTGAGAGAGCCCAGCTCCTGCACTGTTGAAGTGAAAGAGCGCAGCTATCAGTCATTGAGTATGCATATTTACTGTAGCAAGTGCTTTTCAGCCACTCTGACAGGCAATCTCTCACAGAATCTAGTCCCAGGCCATGTGTGTACAACATCCCCCACAATCCATAGCAAATGGGCTGTGCCTTTCCCCTGTGCAAGCAGATAAAACACAGCGGTTGTTGCTGTGGGTTCTAGGACTAAGCCCTGGCCCTCACTGTAGCCACCAGAAGTTCTGCCTCCAGTGGTGGAGCAAGCAGGGGCAGCTCCAGGTACCAGCGCAGCAAGCATGTGCCTGGGGCGGCAAGACGCGTGGGGCGGCCTGCCGGTCACTGTGAGGGCAGCAGTCAGGCGGCCTTCGGCGGCGTGCCTGCGGGAGGTCTGCTGATCCTGCAGTTTCGGCGGCAATTTGGCAGCGAGTACGCCAAAGCCCCGGGACCGGCAGATCGCCCGCAGAAATGCCACCGAATCCGCGTGACCGCAGACTACCCGCAGGCATGCTGCTGAAGGCCGCCTGACTGCCGTGACTGGGGCAGCAAAAAACATAGAGCCGCCCCTGGGAGCAAGCTAGTGGTTCAGTGTCTCTAGACCAGTTTGCTTTACCATTTCATTGGGAGGTTTCGTTGTTCTTTGGCAATATCAATCTCACTTCAGCTTCTGGCTCCTCTCTCCCTTTCCTCAGCTGAGGAATCACCAGAGAACTGAGACTCTAACCCTCTGGAGGGTCCTCTAGTGTAGCATCTCTCTACCAGGCCCTCTCCTCTCCTCCCACCCACCCAGCAACAGAGCAGCCACCTATGCTCTGAGCCAAGTCCAAGAGGTGCTTTTTAGGAGCTTCCGAGGCTGAGCTACTCCCAGTCTGTTGCCAGTCAGCCAACCCTCATTCCGACATGGGACAATAGGATTTGGCTCTTATAAACAGCAGTTCAAATGGAGCATGTGAAGGTTCTCCCAGAAGTGGACATGACCCGTCACAGCCTTTAGTCTACTTCCCCAAGCACCATTTCAAGGCTGGTGAAAAAACCCTAAACACTAAGCAAAGGAAGGAAACCATTATCCAGAGCATTTGAACAGGAAGGAGGTTTGATAACAGCCAGACGTGGCTTCCTTGCCTTGGCTGTGTTTTCTTTCAGCCACGTTTTGGCCAAGATGCCATTGGCTCTTCCTCCTGTAAAATACAAAACTCCAGCTCCCTTCCAGTGCATGAAAATCATTAAGACTCCCGTGAGTGAGTCTGTAGGACCGTTTTAGCTAACGATTAACCTTTAGCTCTCCTTCTCCTCGTGCATTTGGATTAAAAGGGCAACCTGGAGAGCGGCAGCAGCAAAGATGAGTGAGTCATTCCCTAAAGCTACAGACTAAGGGCTTTTCCAGGTGTGGAGTCCACCGATAAGGAGTTTGGAACCAGCAAGCCAGGCAGTGAGAGGACTGAACTTGCTCGACGCTCCACTTTGTGACCTAGCTTTCCTCAGGATGTTTCTGAGCTTCATCCTGTTGTGTTCAATGATGCCACCAATGTTTGTATGGTACAGCCTGCAACTACTGACTTTTCAATGCCTTCAGCTCCATGCTCTTCTCTGTTCTAGGGAGTCTCTTCTAACTAGAGAGATGATAGCGCTGCCTTGTACTGAAGTCTAGTAGTTAGAGCAAGGTGCTGGGAGTCGACTCTGAGAGTCTCTTCCTGAGAGTCTGCTGTCAACTCACTGTGTGACTTTGGGTATGTCACTTACCACCTCTGGCCTCAGTTCCCCACTCTAGAAAATGAGGAGAATGCAGGGGGTTTGTGAGGCTTCAATCATCAAGAGTTGTAATGCCTGTTGAGATTCTTGGAGGAAAAGATACTTTATAAGAGTAAAGCGTTCTGATTAACATTCGTGTTACCTAACAAGGGCTCGCCAGTTAGTTCACTCCTGGCTGAAGAAAAGATGAAAGGAGATGAACGCTGTTTGCACTCGTTTCATTTCATACAGGCCTGATGCCCTTAAGCTGTTTAAACAGACTCTCTGCAGCGATAGCTGGAACGGTGACCGTGTGATTCCTCAGCGCCGGGGGCAGCGTGCCTCGCGGCACATTAACCCAGTGAGTGCTCAGAAGGGAGAGCTGCCTGCCACCTCACAGCAGCAGCATGTCCCACCTTGTGGTGCGCGGCCGACGGATCAACTGGACTCTGGTGCTGGTGGTGGGGTATCTCTTTTACCTCCTCCTGGGGGCCATGGTGTTCCAGCTGCTGGAGAAGCAAGCAGAGGCCCAGTCTCGGGACCAATTCCAGCTGGAGAAACTCAAGTTCCTGAAGAACTACACGTGCTTGGACAAGCAAGCCCTGGAGCAGTTTGTACAGGTAAGAGGAGCAGGCTGCCCAGCTCTGAGCTCAAGGCTTAGTTTGGTCCTGGAGGGTTTATCCATTTTTACTAAAAATGCGGAGATCGATTTAACATCTGTGAAATTAAAGAACTAGCTGTCTAAAGAAAGGCAGATGCTGTGCAAGCTCCCTCCACACAGTTCTGCCATTTCACCTCAATCCTGACCTACAGCACGTCTTGCCTTTTCCACGGTGAGGCTCCCCAAACACACACTTCTGCTGATGCAACTGAGGGCTGCCTCAACGTAATTCCCCTCTCCCAGTCCTGTGCCCAGCTCAGCCCTTCAGTACTGCACTGATGAACGCTATTGCAAACGTTAAGAAAGAAAGGCAGCTCTGCCAGTGCACCTCAGCCCAGACCTGTATCGTCTCTACACATCTCTGCCTGGACCCTGTCCTGCAGCACCCCTTGCTATTCCAGCTCTAGCCCTTTCAAATGCCATGAGCTATGCCATATTGTACTGTGTTTTGGGGGAGTGGGTAAACATCCACAAGGTACCAGGTTAAGATGTGTAAACTCCATTTCATTTGTTACCTCAGGCAGTATTTGACACCAGGTCGGCAGAAGCAAAAGCATGTACAATGAGATCTTTAAACTCATTTACTTTGTCATTTAGAGGAACCAACACAACATGTACTTGCATCTGGTCCAATGTGCACTCAAAATAAATAGGTTTTAAGCTTAAAACAGGTTCAAGGGCAGTTGCAATACCCTCTAAGGTTACTGAAAGCTGTACTCCTTGGTTGTAGTATGCAATGACAGGGCAATAAGAAATCCTTGAATCGATCAGATCTCTTCTTCATGCTCGTAATTTCTCCAACAGCAGACTGGGAGCCTTTCCTTCTGCTAACCGTTTCAGTAAGGCCATTAAACTACTCCAAACAGGATGCCAGTTTGCATTGTACTCTTGGTCTGATGGGTTTCCACCGATCAATTCCCAGATGAACAAAGAGCCCGGCAGGCACAGTAAATGGACTTGATAGAAGAGTGAAGTACAGATCACAAAGGTAGCAGGAAGTGAATGATTCTGCCTGAACCTTGGTCCATTAAGACCACTGGGTAATTACTAATACTACGATGTGTTACTTGTTGAGTGCTTTGCACTGCACGGAACATGACAGAGAAGAGAGCCCTGATGCCCAGATACAGAGAGACGATGACTCCCAGCTCTAAGCCCAATTGGGATATCTTCATAGGGCTAATGCATTATTTAGTCCAGTCCCTAATAACCTAGGAAGCTCCCTGGGGGCCAAATTCTCCTGTCTGACACCAATAGAACTATATTAAAACTAAAGGGGTTGCACTGTCATTGAGAGAAGAATTTTGCTGAACCTCTGGTTGTATTGAATACAAAGAACGTTTCAACTGCTAGCTGTTCTGGAACGAACCAGCAGAGGGCACCAAAGTATCAGATATCTTGTATCAGACTTGAAACACCTCACACTCAAAAACATCTCACTAGATCACAGGGAGAGCTGTGAAGGACAAGCAGAGAGAACTGTGTCATCCGTCACAATGCCTTTTAGACACATTCCCAGCTATTATTAATAAGAAGGAATAACATTCTTCCAAAATTGAATCCCTAGCTCTGAGAGCACTGCTAAGAAACCATCATCTGTCAGTAGTCTTTATTGTTTACCTGTTCAATCATGAGACACCCGTCTACCCAAGCTAAAGTGTTGTGCTACTCTGAAAAGTCACTGTATAAAAGGCATTGTTGCAGCTCCATGCTTATTGTGTGCCAGTGTCACGGGGTCGGCTTTGCTCAGTTAAATTGAAAAACTGGACTTTCTGACTCCCAGCCCTGCAACTCCCCCCCCTGGGATCTGAGAGTCAAAAGTTAGTGTCGCTTCTGGCTCATACATTATCTCCAGTAACTGTGTTTGGACTTTACCTCCATTAACAATTGAGTTGATTCTGCAAGAAGCAGATTCCCGTTGTTCCATCTCCGTTAGCTCTGCAGGGCTGGAAGGAAAAACACTGAGATGGGCCTGATGTGAATAGCCTAAAACATCAGGAAATTCACATAAAACTTTGTGACCTGGGCCCATCTCTGGTAAAAACGTATTTTGTGTCAGAAAATGAAGTAGAGCTGACCCTAGATACAGACAGGAAGCAGAATACCTGTGTAAAGAGGAGCCATTTTTAGAGTCACTTTGCTGCCCAGGCCCACGCTTCCAGCCATTTGTCTGAGAACATCAATCCTGACACACGGGGCCAAACCCTTGGCTATGGCTAAGGAGAATGCAGTGCAGGTGCGGAGGAAGGAATAAAAAGTGGTATAAAGTTCACCTTTGCTCTCTTCAGCTCCTGTGATAGCTTTATGCAGGGCTGGTCCCCTTGTGGAGGGCTGCTCTAATTTACTTTGGGTGCTAATGGTCCCAAGAGAATCAAAAAGGCAGCAACAGATTGGTGCAGTATTGGAGCATACCAGCTGTACCCGTTTTCCCCAGCCACACTCTCTACACCAGCATCAGGGGTGGGAGGAGGTAGAAGCCATTCAGCTAACGTTTTGTCCCAGAGGATCCTTCTTACGCTGGAATGATCTGCCTGGGTCTGGATATGTTGGCAGCACAGCCAGATCCTGCTAGCATGAGTCACAAAGCAGACAGACCATACCAGAAGATATGGCCCACAGTGTCAGGATATGGATGTGACGGCCCAGAGAGGGTATTTAAGGCTGGAGTATTTAAAAGGTATTTTAAAACTGCATTAAATTTTCCTTCTGCACTTGGCATGTGCAGCTTAATGGAGATTATACTTCTGAGCATTTGCACTTTGAACTGCAGAGAACGGAGAGTTGCTCCTTGTGGGCCATGGATTAGAGCTGAGGGCCTTTTAGGCATTCTGAGTGGCAAAGGACAGGGATTTGTACCTCAGTGCAGTCTGAAATTTCATTCTTCTCTCCTCATTGCCAGTTAAAAACACAGCAGTCATTTTGGATAGTTTGATTTATCAAACTCCCAGAAGAGGTTTTTAATGGCTAGAACAAAGCTATTTGGTAATAGAAGGGAGAAAATGGCACTACTATAACGGAATCGAATGTGGCCAGATGCACAACAGTCTTAACTGATGGGTTTCACACGCTTTGCAGATTCCCAGATGCTGTAGGAATTGTTACTGAAAGAATAATGTAAGGTGTTAAACCCCAACCAACCAAAAGTTGTGTTATTCAGTGCGCATCAGATCAGCTAACATTTCAGAAGTGGTGCAATCCACATTGCCCTGGAATGAGGCATTGCAGAGATAATGCCCCCAGCAGCAGTCAAGGGTTTGGGTTTTGAATGAGCATCCCCCAACCTTTAGCGCTGATCTCCTGGTTGTTGGGTCGTTGAGGCTGAAATGGCTATTGGGGCAGCACACTCAGCCCCTCTAGGTTTTGTGTCACTCTAGAAGCAACCCTTTCTGCTGCTTAAGGAGCAGGGTGGTGGGTGCACAAATGAGGTTCATTCAGTCACCTGGTGGAAGGGTGAGGGCCAGGACCTTGGAGCTCAAACATGGTGAGAGGAAAATAGAACAGATCCTCACAACTCCAACAGATGCCTCTGCCCTGTGGAGGGAATAGAACAGCAGCCAGGCAATATTCTACTCACCCAGAGGCATTTAGTTGGATATAAGGATCTAGGGGTTATAGTGGATCACAAATGGAATATGAGCCAACAATCTGATGCAGTTGCAATAAAGGCTAAAATCATTCTGCAGTGTATGTGTTGTAGGTAAGGCACTGGAGGTAGCTGTCCTACACTACTCAGCACTGGTGAGGCCTCAGCTGGAGTACTGCATCCAATTCTGGGTGCCACACTTTAGGAACGATGTGAACAAATTGGAGAGAGTCCAGAAGAGAACAACAAAAATTATAAAAGAAAACCTGGCCTATGAGGAAACGTTAACAAAATGGTCAAGTTTAATCTTGAGAAAAGAAGATCAAGGGGGGGACCTGATAACAGTCTTCGAATATGTTAAGGCAGTTATAAAGAGGACTGTGATCAGTTGTTCTGCATGTCCACTGAAGGTAGGCCAAGAAGTAATGGGTTTAATCTGCAGCAAGGAAAATTTAGGTTAGATATTAGGAAAACCTTTCTAACTATAAGGGTAATTAAGTGCTGGAATAGACTTCCAAGGGAGGTTGTGGACTCCCCATCATTAGAGGTTTTTAATAATAGTTTAGACAAACACCTTCCAGGAATGGTCGAGATATAGTTAGTTCTGAGCAGTGCAGGGGGATGGACTAGATCAGGGATTGGCAACCTTTGGCCCGCGGCCCGCCAGGGTAAGCACCCTGGCGGGCCGGGCTATTTGTTTACCTGCTGCGTCCGCAGGTTCTGCCAATCGTGGCTCTCACTGGCCGCGGTTCGCTGCTCCAGGCCACTGGGGGCTACGGGAAGCGGCATGGGCTGAGGGATGTGCTGGCCGCCCTTCCTGCAGCCCCCATTGGCCTGGAGCGGCGAACCGCAGCCAGTGGGAGCCGCGATCGGCTGAACCTGCGAACGCGGCAGGTAAACAAACCGGCCCAGACCGCCAGGGGCTTTCCCTGAACAAGCGGCGGACCGGCTTTGCGAAGCACTGACTTAGGAGACTATGTCCCATGTTCATAAATGACTTAAGGTATTTAGGTGCCTAGCTGCCTCTAAGTTCCTAAGTCCTCTGACTTTAGAGGTGTCCTTTAGACACCTCTGACATTTTCAAAACTGCCCATCTGCTGCTGCCTACTCCCATGGGAGCCGCAATCGGCCGAACCTGCGGACGCGGCAGGTAAACAAACCGGCCCGGCCCACCAGGGTGCTTACCCTGGTGGGCTGCGGGCCAAAGGTTGCCAATCCCTGGACTAGATGAATTCTTGAGGTCCCTTCCAGCCCTAGGATTCTATGATTTTTGACAGACAAGTAAAATATTTCACATTACAACTGAATTTGGGAAGCTGCACTCCCTTTGCCCATGTTGACTTTGGCCCACTGCAACACCCAGCAGGTGAGAGCAGTCTAGAGCAGCAGAGGATGTCTCATAAATTAACCCCAGGCTGTCAGACAGAAAGGAAAGGCCTGGAGATGATTGGTGGAGATACTGAGAAGCTATAGCTAAAAACAGAACTAGCCCTCATGATGTAGAGGTGAGCCAGCCACTCCTCCCCCTCCACCCACAAACATGCATGAATCACACGTAAGTCTGGGATGAGATGGAGAGTGGGAGGGACGGAGGAGGAGCAACCTTTGTTTTTATGGTTTAGCATCACTTTGTTTCCCTAATTCAATCCCTTTCGGTGCCCCCTCCATTCCCTTCCCTTCATCCTCCAGCAAGTTACTGAAATGTTCGTACTTGGGTGCTCCTGTTCTCCTATAAGGAGGGCACAGGCCCCTGGCCAGCTCTACTCCTCAGCTTTGCTGAGCCACTGAGAGACCTATATCAGGTCCTTCTGATCAAACTCTAACCTGTCTAGAAACTCCATTGCTTATTACACATCTAAGCTTGCTCAAGACATCCATCAACACTCACCTGTCCATCCTTTTTACCTGACAATCTTTGTCATGAGCCTATACATGCTGCTCACCTGTGTTGTCTTGTGCTCTTCTTCTGCTTCAGGTCATCCTGGAAGCATGGGAGAAAGGGGTCAACCCAGAAGGAAACTCTACCAACCCCAGCAACTGGGACTTCAGCAATTCTTTCTTTTTCGCAGGAACCGTTGTCACAACTATAGGTGAGGCAGCCTCTCTTCCTATTAACCTCTTCCTCTGTCAACAGATGCTTCCTCCAACTGTCTTGTGAAAGACTGAATCACTAGTGACAGCTGGATAGACTAGACCTGTCAGGGGAGTCTGTATCAGTGTGAGGCATATTTAAAGTGCCACATTTTCAGCCAGCCTCCAATTCTGCATGTTCAGTCTGCATACCCAGCTTATTGCACCTTCAAAAGTGGGCACATGCCCATTTTGCACCGGCAAAGCCTTCATTTGCATATGCAGACTGCGCTGTGTGTGCAAGATAGGTACTGCATCTGCTTGTGCAAACCAAGTTAGTTGCGTTCGTCACAAAATTGGAGCCCTGGGTTGAAAATCAGACCCCTAATGTGGAAGGATAAGATATTTTTAAATAATTTTTCATGTCCAGTGTTCTTTTGATAGTGACAAAGATTTGGGGCCCAATCAGTGGCTGTGCCATTTTCTCCAGCCAGAATTCTGTCTGGAAAGGTGTGGATAAGCTGGGGCACAATGGAACTGAACTAAACTGACCTTCCAAGCCTTTTAATTTAATTGTCCCTTTTTTCTCTCCTTCACTGCAGGTTACGGTAACTTGGCCCCCAGTACGGTGGCTGGGCAGGTGTTCTGTGTGTTTTATGCCTTGTTTGGGGTGCCGCTTAACCTGGCCTTTCTCAATCAGCTGGGGAAAGGACTCAATGCACACCTGATCACTCTGGAGAGATGGGTGCACAAGCCAGGCCGTGCTCGGGTACAGTATCCATTTATCATTGGTCTTCCTCTGTTTTAAAGCTAATTGGTTTTCTGAAACAGGTGGCACCTCAGGCTTCGCTGCTGCCTATTTGTGTGTAGATCCTGGGACATCATAATCATGTGTCCTTTCTATATCAGGAAGTTAACAGGTCACATTTATAGATGATGACTTTGAAGTACACCTCTACCTCAATATAACACTGTCCTTGGGAGACAAAAAATCTTACCGTGTTATAGGTGAAACCACGTTATATTGAACTTGCTTTGATCCACCGGAGTGCGCAGCCCTGTCCCCCCCGGAGCACTGATTTACCGTGTTATATCCAAATTCGTGTTATATCGGGTCGTGTTATATCGAGGTAGAGGTGTAATTTGCTCTTGTCTGAAGGAAACGATCTTTGCCTGTCTTAAGCCCTGATTCCCCAGAACACGTTAGCATGCTCTTAACTTTGAGCATGTGCCCAAGTCCCATTGACTTTGATGGACTACAAGTATGTACTTAAGTGCTGCACTGAATCAGGCCTACGGTGCCCAGCCTGTAGTGGTTTTAAACTACAGTAGAACCTGAACGTTACGAACACCTCGGGAATGGTGGTTGTTCATAACTCTGAAATGTTTGTAACTTTAAACAAAATGTTCTGGTTTTCTTTTAAAAGTTTACAACACCCCTGGGAGATAGGTAATGAACTATTTTACATTGGGGGAAAATGAGGCAGAGACAATAAGGCCCATGCTTTCAGACTTGCAAATTCAGTAGTTATGACTGTGAGTTCATTCAAGGTAAATGCACGCACAGAATTAGTCATGTATTTGTTGGCCATTGATGTCAATGGTTGCCAACTCTCACCATTTTATCATGAGCCACACATACTTGGTGTTTTTGTTAAAGGTCCAGCTCCTGGAGTCATGTGAAAATCACAGCTTTCATTTAAATAAAATTAGTTTCTGGTCTTCTTGGTTGCAGACAGATGTTTGAAAATGTGATATGAGCTCACCCCTGTATTTTCTACAAACCAGCAACAATAAAAAAATCCACCAACCACCCTGTGACAGACACTCAATGCCGCTGAGCTGCCATTTTCCTTCTCTCCTACAGGTAGTGCAGACACTGGCATTGGCCCTCTTTCTGACCGCCGGGACCTTGCTTTTTCTAGTATTCCCACCTATGATCTTCAGTTATGTAGAAGGCTGGAGCTATGGAGAAGGCTTCTACTTCACCTTCATCACCCTCAGCACCATTGGATTTGGGGATTATGTAGTAGGTAATGAAGGGGGTGGGGTTGGATGAACTTTATAGGCCTGTGTTCTTAGACCACTGTAAATTGGGAATAACTCTGCAGAAGTTAATGAGTTACACCAGTGTACGTCTGGCATAAGTAGATCAGAATCTGGCCCTATGTCTCTACTAAGACTGCCAACAAGGCCGTTAAGTATTGCCAATTGTGATGATGGGCGTGGATTCTTGTCCACTGAGACCCACCAAATTCATTTCACACAAACCACTGAACACCGATTAGATAGTAACTGTGCCCAACCTGGTTTAGAATGAGCCACAGACATAGAGGTGAAAGACTCTATATCCCATTACTAATCCTGCGAGCCATCCAGTCCCAATTAGTGTCACCCACGTATGGACTAGACAAGAAACTCTATCAAACATTTTTAGGAATCAAGCCATGTCTAATACTGAGCTGCCAGGGATTATAATTACAGGGTGAATACTAGTAGCAAGCAGAGGCCCTTGTAAGAAAATCTACCAAATGGCAGCATATAATCCCCAGGGGCACTGGCTGTGCCCTAGAGTCACTGCCAGAGAGGAGGCCTTTCTCCTTTCTCTGCACCAGCTCACTTAAGTAGTACACTTAACATATGAGGTATAGAATGTCCACATGTGTAGAAAGAACAATAGGTTCTGTCACCTTCTCTGGGGTTTATCCTCCCCTCACTTCCCAGAAGTTTTGTCTGTGCATTGTGAGAGCCTCTTTGCCTTAAGGCCTGGCTGTGATACTGTGGAGATCAGGGATGCATTTGGTCCTTAGCTGATGCACTGACCATTCATTCACTAGAACTGCCATATGGGTATCAGTGACACCCTCCATCCCCCGCATATACATACATATACAAAATGGCACTATTTGCTTGGTAATGTATTCAGCAAATAATATCTGAGCCTCTCTGTTCAGAACTCAGGCATACTGCATACTACAGAAAAAAAAACATGGGTGTGATAACCTATGGGTGTGGCTAAAATAATATTCTAACATGTTAGAGAACCAGATGTAGAATGAAACATACCTTTCTAATATGGTTATAACATGATCATTTCCCATCAACACAGGCTAGAATGAATAATTTTACATAGCCCTGGTTAAGGTTAAACACCACATGTTAGTTGAAGTTTGATGAAAGTAACAGCTTGATTGCATGGAGATGCCACAAATTGAGTAAATCAGTCACATCACTTTCTTGTCCTATTTATTAGATGTATAGCAGGTATAGTAAAGTGGTCATGATAGGGTTAAATGGGTTACCCAGAGTAGTTTAGGATGGAGCCATGCTCCGTGCCACTCTTACTTCTTGTTTAGTCAGTGGGAGTTTTCCCTTCACTGTGCTGTGATGCAGTTAAATAAAGCAGCAAGTTCCCAGCCTGCAATTCTGTGTGCAGATGGGGGGCCTTACAATTTTGATCCCATCTACTCCAAGCCGAACCTCAGACACTGGGGATATGTCTACACTTAAAATGCTACAGCTGCGTTGCTGTAGCGCTTCAGTGTAGACACTATCTGTGTCGACAGGAGGGGTTCTCCCATCAGCGTAGGTAATCCACCTCCCCAAGAGGCAGTAGTAGGTCAATGGAAGAATTCTTCTCATGGATACACGAGGACTTAGGTCAGCTTAACTACACTGCTCGACGTGTGGATTTTTTCCACAGTCCTGAACGACATAGTTATGCTGAGTTAATTTTCTAGTGTAGGCCAGACATGAGCAAGAAAACATGGGAATCATTCTAGGACATATGCCCACATACAGTAGATTTCTTATGTGGGATCAGTGTAGCTCACATGACCTCACAACAGACCTTTGCATGAGGTTATGTGTGTTTTGCATACTGTTGGCCTGTTGTTTGCCAGTCCCAGGGGTCCAATCTAACATGTGAAGTTTCACGTTTTTTTCAGGCACAGATCCTAACAAGCACTACATCTCGATGTACAGGAGCCTGGCGGCAATTTGGATTGTTTTTGGCTTGGCCTGGCTCGCTCTGGTCTTTAACTTGGGAGCTGACCTGATGGAAAAATTCCTTCAGTTAAAGTGGCACAAGCCTGGCACAGCAGAAGAAGCCATTACCAAGATGGAGGATGACCCTGATCAACCCAGAATCCACATACCTAGCTGAGAGAGGCTCATGGAGAGCACTTTAGAAAGAGCAAGGCTCCCCTGCTCCTGCCTCATACACACCAAGCAAGCTTTCTGGGTAAGAGATTGCTGGATCTAAACCACAGGCTGCAGACTATCTCCAAGGGAGAAGATATTTTCAGAAGAAAGGAAAGCCCTTCATAGTGTAAAGGCAGCAGCTGAATAAAAACCCCTTTGAGGGAGTGGAACTGTAAAACAAACATCCCAGTATTCAGCACTCACTTTCCACTCAACGACTCCCTGGTGCAAGTTCTCCTGAAATAATTAGTTACCATCCCTCTGATTTGATCTTTAGCTACTGGAATTGAATTCTGTTAAATCCATCCACAGCCTCACAGTGAGGGTGGGAATACCTGACATCAAGAGAGCTGAGCTGAATTTCACTTCCAAGCAGACACAATGAGAAAAACAGGACCAGGCCTGGCCACCTGTTTAACCACATTCATCAAATGAAGCTTTTTCTGAAACCTCTTGGCAGATTTTGTCCTACATATTCAGTGGTTACATTTCTATCATTGTCCAGCTGGGCTGAAAAGCTTCTCCTTAAAATTGCTTAGAAACACTGTGTCCATTCCAGAGCTGTCTGCACTCTAAGAACTTCATCTGGAATAAACAGGCATCTGATACCAAATTCTGATCTCCCAAGTCCCTTGATGATACCAGTCCCTTGCTCAGTGACTATTGCTGCAAGCAGACTTCCTTATTTCCTGCCAGTTCAGAAATCCTCTGCCAAGGTGTGGTACCTGCTTTGGGCCCATTCATTAAGAAACTCTCATGGACTATGTGAAGTCAGTACTGTCCATTCAGTCCTAAGCAAAACTGGCCGACTCCTCCCATTCCAAATCCTGCTCTCTGTTACATGCATGGCATTAGTTGGTGAGAACAAGGAGTCTGATTTTCTCACAACTGCTGTCAACCAAGAGTAACAGCTCTTACATCAGTCAAGGAGGTGGAAAAGCAAAACAAAAGCCACACGTGTGGAACGATCCTGTCGTTGAACAGTAGAAATATGGGTCCCACGTACAACAAACTTTATAAAGAGTTAATCAATAACGTCTTCTATAGATATGCTTGTAACCATTATGACATATGCTACTTCTGTATGTGCAATGCTAATAACATATATTAATAATTTATTAACCCTTTATAAGCCTGTTATAAATGGAACCTTCATGGACAGTGTGCCCAAAATACAACCTGACTGACAGAGTTAACCAGCAGTGGCCCATGATTTATTGATTACAATTCACCACATGACAGCCTCTCAACTAGCAATTTGATATTTCACTGTGGGAAAGATGTCTATAAAATCTGCAGCAAATTGGAGTGCACAAGGTGTGAAACTCATCCCACACTTCTCCTCTGCTGGATTCTGTGTTCTAAGGAGATTCACAACAAAGGCTTGATCTTGCATCTTACCTGGTACCTGTTTTCCCCACTGATGGTTGGAACCTGGAGACTCCAGACTGGGTGCTCAAGTCTGAAATGCTGGGAAATAAGAGTGGACAGCTCCCAGTTATTGGGCTTGCTCAGTAAGGCTCATGACACCATCACCCCATTCTACACCTCATTCTGATCTTGCTACTACCTACCTTACAGCTCTTGTCTATCTCCACTCTCCTAGCACTGATCTCCCCTCTGTTCCTTCACACAATCTCCTAAATGAGTGCAAGAACCGCCTGCTCTGTAGCTTCTGCTGTCTGGAACAGCTGCCTTGGATCTCTGTGAGTTAGTTAGCTCTCCATATTTTTGCAACTCTCATCTGAAAATCTTGCTTACCTATATCCACTCTTTTCCCTCCCTCAGACCAAATGCTCACATATTGTCATTAGATGCTGTCTTTTCACCACTGTCTTTGCAATTTATATTATATTCTGCCTTATATTATCTAGCTCTATGAAACATTGTGGGCTGCCATTTGTATGAACGACATGATCAGGTACCAAGTAAAGTTGTACTGAGTTGTGCATACAATCCAGATTCCATCCCACCCCTCCTGTCTTCCACACCTTCCTCACCCAACCTAGGCAACACAAACCATGTGTGCCAGGCCAGAGGCTAAAGGCAGGTGTACAAAATACCTTTCACTGTGCTGCCTGCCACACAATGTGCTAAACATGTGCAAAGATGACTAGACCAGGGATACAACATGTGCCTTACATGTTGGGGAGCTCTCTGCTACTCTATTTTCACACACACACACACACACACACACTCTCTCTCTCTCTCTCTCTCCCCGCCTCCTGGCAGCTTGCAGTTGGAGTCTCCACTTCCTCAGCCCAGTCCTCCTACCAGTATATAGCTCCATTGCTAGCCATTGGCTTTGCCAAACAGCAGCAGAGCAACACTGACATGATTTTTGTCAGTTTCCAGTGCCACCCACATGATTTTGAATAGAGTTGGGCAGCAAACCCTTTTCCCATCCCACAATTATTTTGAAGAATTTGAAAATCTGTATCGTCCCCAATTAGGACAAAATCTCAAAAATGTTCATGAAATGGGAAAAACAAATTGGTTTGGGTCAATTGAAACATTTTGCTGCAATGATTTTTGAAATGTTTTGTTTCCCTTTTTCCCCTTTGATTAACTCTTTTTAGTCTTAAAATTTGAATGAAAAAGTCATTCCGAACCAGTACCTTGGAATTCTTTGTTTTGAAAACATCAAAGAAACATTTCAACAATTTCAAAACTTTTTTTTTCAACGTTTTTTCGTAGTCAGGAGATTCGTCAGAACCGACCTTGATTCACAAACAGTTTTGGTTTTGATGACGCTGCATTTTTACACACACACACACACACACACACACACACACACACACACACACACACACACACACACACACACACACACACACCTCATCCAAAAAATCCCCACTGGCCCTAGTTCTGAATAGTAAAAGTGAAAGCGTCCAGAGACTTGTTACGTTCACAGTGCTGCTGCTGCTGCTTTTGACGACACTCCGAGTAGCTGCAGAGATTCTGGAGTTGTCTGTCTGCAGACTCAGGAAGATACATTAATGCTGTATCAGCTCAGACATGAAAGGTTTTCTTAACAACCATAATGGCTAGAAAACAAATTACAAAAGAAAGAAAAATCTTAAATTCTGCAGATGCTGATGATTTAAGGCTCCTCACACTCACCAGGGGGAAAAGTTTCTTTTTCACCACTGTCCAGTGGATTTTTCAAGCCTTGTACAAGAGCCTAAAGATTATAGTGATGCCATAACAGCTCCGTTGTTCAGGTTACATTGCAATTTGCACTTAAAGCAGGGACAAAATACTTTTTTTATGTATGAATAAGAGTGCAGTGTTTCTCAGTGGGTGCAATTTGAACCTCGGGTGAGTTCTGAGGGGATGGGTGCTGGGGCACAACCTACCAGCTGAGGAAAATAAAATGGCAGAAGATCTACTGCTGAAGAACACTATATAAGAGCCAGGCCAGGCATTATTATGGTATGGTCACTAAGGAGCCAGGGGAGGACAGGAAAGGAGTATCTTGCCCCCTCCCTATTCCTGTTGCTAACAATGCAATCTCTGCTTCCTGTACAGAGTGGACTTCTCTCAACTTCCTGTAAAGTGCTCGGCTCTGGTGCAGGGGAAGCAGCACTCCTGAAGTTGTGGAGCTGGCATTGCAGCCTGTGTAAACAGGATTGCCCCAGAGCTGGGCACTGTGTGGATACATGAGCAGGTAATCACCAGCAGCTGCCACTCCATCCCCAACCAGGCCACCAGGATGGCACCAGGCCTCTAACTAGAAAGCCCGCCAGCACACCCATCCCAAAGATCTCCCTCCAAGTCTGGCAACCTCTGCACCATCCCACCGCAACAAGTCCCCGAGCACCAATATACCACCTGCAATTTTTTGTCATGGCCCCAGTCTCAGAATCTTGTGGATTGTGGGATATTAGGTGGATCCTGAACAGGAAACTGGAAGTGTTTTTTGGGTCCTGAATGGAAAAAGGTTGAAAATCCTTAATACAGTGTATCCTTCCCAGACTTATGACACTTACTCTTTGAGTGCAGAAAGAATTTGCTGGGGATTTTCATTTTAATCCATTTATTAGTTTATGAATGATTGGTATTTAAGTGGCCCCTTTTAGGAGCTTTTGGGGTGAAGCTTTTTCTTCCCCCCAGTTCCTTCTAACAAGGGTATCCTGATTTAGATTTGAAAATGGGCTCGGTTCTCGACAGAAAACTTGAACTCTCACCTGTTAAGTTGTTTTATATATCTTATCATTAATATATGTATTAAATAGCATAAGTGCATGTCAGTAATATTTGTGCATGATTATGTTTCATAGTATGCATTGTGCAGCTGATCTGGTTTTTATATGGTCATAATGTAAAAATATAGTAGAAATGTATCTGTGTTTTTGATAAGATAGGCAATGCAGACTGTAACCATCTTTTCCTCCTTTGTCCCTCTGAGACATCTGGAGACATCTAATTTTAAGATTATAACTCACATGCGATTATTAAATAACAGTACTTTGGAAAGTAAGAGGTAAGGCTGTGCAGTGCAATTTTCAGTTCTTTGATGCATGCATTGCAAGTGACGATTCTTGAACTGAAAGTGAGCATGTGAAAGAGACTATTATGCTGCTGGTACGGTTGAACGTCACTGTGGTAGTGATTTAATGCTTGGAGGCTGCTTGTATGTTGAGTGTGAATTTGCCTTAACTCATTCTTTTGATGTGTAATATTTGTGTTATTAGAAAATGCATCTGAGCAACTTTAATTGTAAAGGGTTAGATTGCACCTTTAGGCACAGCCCTGAAGCTCTCCTTTCCACCCTCTGTACCAGCAGCAAATTACAACAGTCCCTTTGCCAGCTCAGCTGTACTGGTAAATGGTTGCAGCCAAGGATCCATCCATTCTCCTCTTCCACTTCCGCTGTTCTGGGCATTGGGGTCTAAACAGACACAAGGTCTGGGAGGCTTTCTCAGGGATTTAAGGGGTGCCTCTTACTCTCCTGCATGGTCACAATCTGTCCCTAAATTAGTCAAGCTTGTGTCCAAAAATTATTTGTTTTGCTTTGTTTTGTGGAGACCACAGAGATTAGTCTGGGGTGATGGGGCATACTGTATATACTCTACTTGAATTCAGGGTAGCATTTGACACAGTCCTGCACAACAGGCTAATCCACCAAATTAGCAAATTCAGCATAGAAGGCACCAGTCCTGTATGGATAAGGAATAGGTTAGATGAGGGTGGCGGGAGGTCTCATATTTTTCATAGAATGGACCACACCTTGATAGAGAGAATGCCTCAGGACTCCTCCCCCCCCCCCCACCTTCACTTATCAGCCCTGTGTCAAGTTCATCAATCACTTACATGGAAAAGTCATATTAAGAAAATATTTTAACTCCCTTTTTAATGTGATTTAGCAGCAGGAAACAAGAAAGAAAGCCCGTTCTCTGCAGATCACCATGAAGTGCCTCTCAGACCACAGGGAATGTGTCACTGGGTTAGATGATCAAGGTCAGTTTCCCCTGATGGAAGATGATGATGAGTGGAGTCCCTCAGAAAGTGGCACAGGGCCTGCTGGTTTCATTCCCAAGTATAAAGGACTCAGAGGAAGGTTTCACTAGTAGAGACTCCAGGCTTGTGGATGACACTAGATTGGCCAACAACTAGAGTAGAAGTAAAGAACCAAACACAGAAAGACCTGGATAGGTGGGCACTATTAGGGGACTATCTGTGAAATAATGAGATTGGTGGTCAGGAGCAGTCAGATGGGATGCACATTAAACATACTGGTTCTGCGGTACACACCGTAGGACAAGGATGGAGAACCATGACGCAAAATGACTGGTTGAGGGCAACAAGGCACAGAGGGCACCAGAAAGTTTGAGTGGCCAGAACCACTCTTGAAGAGTCTCTTAGTCTGCAGCTAGGGAGCACATGGTGACGCCGTCCTTCGGAAAGGAAACCCTGAGGCACAGCCCAGAAAAGGGCTACAGGAGTGTGGCAAAGAGGGAGGGATGGCTCAGGGGACTGGTAATATCAGCTGGAGCTTTTCCCCTCTGGCCCCTGGGAAATTGTGGTGGTGCCCCAGAACTGCTGCTCCTATGCTGGCCACAGGACAAACTAACTATATCCGCATGGGTCAGGCCCCTGTGGTACCAGAGAGCGGGGCGGAGGGGCGGGACATGGAGACTGAAGAGGGATCTGGGTGCCCCTGATCCACCACTTCCGGGGGTGCCAGATGCTC